TTTTTTTTTTTTTTTTTTTTTTTTGTATTTCGATCAAACTCAGGACGTGCTTGTGAGGCAAACATGGTGCCACTGAGCTACATCCCCGGCCCCAAGCATTCATCTTCTTATGCTTTGACTTAATTTGTGGTAGCTTTGTGGTGCAGAATACTTATATTTAATGTAGTACTATTTATCACTCTTTTTCTGGGTTTTATGAAGCACATGGAAACTTTTTTGTCTCATAAAAAGTTCCCTTGTCTGGTTACTTTTTTAATGTATTTTTTGCTAGTGATCTTTGATTAGTATTTATTTAAATTACTATAAGATATGAGTTTAATTTTCACTTTTCTTTTCAGTTTTCTTAATAACATTCCAAACTTGAGGCAAACCAAAGGCTTACCAACAAGGGAATGTATAAAAGAGTTGTGACAGATCCACCCAATGGTACAGATTTATCAATAAAAAGAAATGAATTATTGACACACACACAGTAACATGGATGGACCTCAAAATAATCATGCCCACTGAAAACAACTGTGCCGGAAAAGAAAAAGACATATTTTTATTGTGGGAATCTGTTTCTAAAAGGTCTAGAAGATGCTCGCTTTGGCAGCACATATACTAAAAGGTCTAGAAGAAGCAAGTTAATCTACAGGAACAGAAAGCACACTCTGGTTACCTGAAGATGGGAGGGCAGGTAGGAGGGAGGAATTACAAAGGGATGGAGGAAACCCTGAGGAGTGGTAGATATGTTCTTTATCTCTGTTACATGGTTAGTTTCTCAGGGGTATACATATGTCAAAACTTGTTGAATTGTACTTTCGTTTTGGTGCTGAATATCAGACCCAGGGATGCTCTACCACTGAGTTATATCCCCAGGCCTCTCTGCTTTTTATTCTGAGATGGAGTCTCAACTAATATGTATGGGCTAGTCTCAAACCTGTGTCCTCCTGCCTCAGCCTCCTACGTAGTTGGAATTCATAGGCATGCCCTATGGGCCCAGCTAAGTTGTATGCTTTAAATATATGCAATGTATTAAGTGAAATTATATTTCAATACAGTCTTAAAAAATAACTGACTGGATTAAGGAATCTAGTAAACATTGAAAGACAGATGTGAACAAAGAATCCAGATAATAGCACAGAGAAACAAGAATATTAAAAGAGAAGAGATGTGAAAGAAAGAAAAAGTCTCTCATGGTTTGTGTCCAGATGCCCCACACACACAGAGCCTCATGGGGTCATAGGTGGGGCTTTTGCAGAGGAGGCTGGATCTAGAGTGTGTGCTGCTGGCATTCATGGTGCAGTGCTGGGCTCAAGGGCACGAGGATTAAGGGTGTGGGAGCTGCCCCTCTGAGTAGTCTCAATAAAATAAAAGGGGCATGAACTCCATTGCTGCTTTTCTACTGTCCATCCATCGTAACTGCTGCCCTTCTTCCACCCAGCCTTAGAGCCAGCCGATTACAGACTGAAACCTCTACAGATGTAAGCAAAATAAACCTTTCCCCTTTCATTTGGGGTGCTGAGTATTTTGTCTCAACAAGGAGAGAAAAGTAATGGAGACAAAGTCTGAGAAACATTACTTCAGGGTTTTAGAAAGAGGAGAGAGGATAGATCAGAGACTATGTTTGAAGAATGTGATGGCTGAGAATTTCCTGGGGAGACATCAATCCACAAATCATAAAAGCCCAGTGGATTTATAATGGAATAAATAAAAAGTAATGTCCATCCACATACATCAAAGTAAAACTACAGAACACCGAAGATTAAAAGGAGATCTTAAAAGTGGCCAGAGATAAAAGACTTTTAAAAGAAGAGAAATAGATTTTAATAGGTGACTTCTCCATCACAAAATGGAAACCACAGGATGACTTTGATGTGCCCCAGAAAAGGCTGCCAGCCCAGGATCACGTACCCAGCAAAAATATTTTCAACAACCACGAGGAAGCAAATACATTTTTCCGACTAATAAAAATGGAGAGAATTTTCTTCTCGCAAGAAAAAAAATGTAATAACATGCTTTAGGCAGAAGAAAACAAACTCAGAAAGAAGATTTGAAATTTTTTTAAAAGCCTGACCCTGAAAATGAGAGAATAAGATGACAAGATATGGCAACCACAAGGGTAAATAGAAATAAACAGACTTCAAAAAACAAGGAATATACCTGGAAACGTATTTGCAGTCTTTCTAACACATGTAGGATGTGTGCAGAATCTGACAGATTCGTCATTAAAAAGGCCGGTTAACACCTGCAAGCACTACGGGAAGTGTTAGTTCCACTCATGGGAGGGGACACTGCAGCAAGCAACGGGACACATTTTGCCTGAGTCTTCACATGCTGAGACCCTCAAAGTCGCAGAACAATATTGTACAATGTTGGTGGGTATGTGGATTTCCAATCAAAGTATAAAAACATGGATTGAAATGATTTGTGCCAAATACATAAAGCTACATAATTATCTTTTCAATTTTATTTTCACTACCATATATAACATATAAGGTAATATTTTATTTTATTGTTAGGACTTAGAGAATAGGGTGACAAAATACCAATATTTTTAATTCTGCTCCATCATTTGTCAGGAGTTTGGTTTTTGGTTTTTTTTTTAGAATTTTCTTATATTTTTAAGTTCTTTTTTAAAAAGTAGAAAAAGAGAACAGATACTCTCATGCTCAAATTTTAACGTTCATCAGTCAAAACCCCTAGGGAAACCTCTGCTGTGTATTTCATTTTCAACAAAAGTTAAGACAACGGAAGTGACAATGAGTGAAGGCTTCTTTCTTAAGGACAGAACAAAAAGTTAGAGGATAAATGTGTAATTGATGATATGCAGATGGATAAACAGAAGACCCACGGCAGACTGACAGGCGTGGAGCCTGGGGCAAGCTGGAAAGCACAGCTCTCTCCCACCAGCAGTGGCCACTGTTCCGCGAGAGCAGGCCCAGTGTCTTTGGGGCTTATGAGAGCTCAAAAGTGAGAAATCACCACATTACATGGGTCATGTTTTGCCCAAGTGGTCCTAATGGGTTTGCGAGATATCCTGGAGAAATGTCCCCTGGTTTCTTGGGGCCACGGCCTCGGATCTCTCAGCCTTGTGTGAAAGAGCCCCCAAACCCAGCCCCAAACACAGCAGAGGTTTGCTGAGTTAGCCAGGAAGTCTGGGGGAGCCTACTGAGTGGACCCTTGCCTCCTTCTCTCCCAACATCTGCTGGACTCCTCATGCTACCTGGAGAATTTGGGTTCACCAGTTGTCACCTAGATGTCACTTGATACATCTTCCTTGTCAGTAAGACTCGCGGGGGGCAGTAACACTCACGACTCCATCATCTCTGCATGCTCAGAGCCTCGTGGGCAGATACCCTTCGGTCTGGTAAGCCTGTGTTCTCCCTTTTCCTGAGATCTGCATCCAGAGCTTCCTTTGTTGGACCAATGCTGCCCACTCGGGTCACTAGGGAGGCCCTTCTTTGAGTCAGGCTATTTTGATGTGGGTTTCTGTCACCGGAGCTCTGAAGAACCGATGAAGCATATACCAAAAATGATGGATGTCGGGAAGGAGGAGATGTGGTTTGGAGCGGCATGAAGTCTCACTCCTTAGACAGGTCCAGCATCACTGCTTGTCAGAAATGCAGACTGCCAGGCCCCTTCCCAAAGCTGCTAGGTCCTACACAGCAGTACAAAAATATCCCAGGCAACTGACACAGCCAGGATGGGCTTGGAGCACAGGGCAGGCCACAGCACACTACGGAATGAGACTTACCCGCTCAAGTCTGACTTTTCTGTGTTTCTGTGTCCTTGTGCGGAAAAACAGCGCTAATGATGCATCTACCTCCCAGGGGCCCGGAAGGGCCTAATGACACAACATCACGCACGAAATGCCGGGAACACAGGGAGCACTCCATGGGGCTGGCTGATGACAGCGGGGAGGAGAGGTCAAACCCAGCCCTTGAGAGTCCTGGCAGCAGCAGAAAAGGATGAGGAATACGGGTCACCTTCTGAAGAACACCTGGACTTTGGATCAAGTTTGCACAGGGGAAGAGAAAGGTAAGGGCATCCTAGGAAGGAAGGGCTGCTGAAGCACCCTGTGGCGCTGCACGCAGCAGGGATCGGCTGGCAGGGTGGATTGGAGAACAGAGTGAGGTCAGAGGCAGACCCAGTCCCACTGACTGCAAGAGCAGGAGGTCAATAAGGAAATAATGAGGAAAATAAGAGCAAGCTTCTTATTTTGGGCACAGAGAGGGTTGTGCATAACAGGTACAATGCTGCAGGTCTTGCTTTTCAACTTACACATAATAATTGGTCTAGAAGGTTTTAAGCAAGGAAACAAGACAATCAGATGATGAGAGTGGCATGAAAAGCCATGCGTCCTCCTATCTGTCCTCGATGCCTGTGTACATGGATGTGTCTCAAGGAGATAGACTTCTACATATCCACATCCGTTACCCTCAAGGGCTGGGGTTTTATTGTCTTCTGTTTTCTCATCTGTGTTTTCTAGTTTTTCTACAATGAACATGCACTGCTTACACAATTTAAAAAAATAAACACCATAAATAATTAATATGTTCTCTTTAGAACTCAAATTGGATGGACGTGCTTCCAACACAGTTCTTTCAAACATTTGCTGAACCACTAGCTTAGAAAGGTAGCAGTGAAAAACACACAGACAACAGTCTTACAGGGTGGGTTTGTGGGGGACGAATTCAGTCCCTTAGTCATGGAATTACAGATCCCACAAAACGGGAACCCTCTCTCCAGAGCACAGAGAAGCCTCTCAAATCCTGCATCGAGTCCTCGAGGTTTAACTAGGCCCAGCTTATACTTCCTGATCCTGGGCATGTTTGGAAAGGGTGGAGGCAGCCACACATCCTACCTTTTGGGATTGATTCTCAATTTTTTTTGCTTGCTGTTCCCACAAGTCGTCTTTGCCCTCCTTCGAAACAGGCCTTTCTTCCATTCTGGGTCCGACATCCGGTCCTGGGATCTCATCCCCGAGACTATGAGGCAGGAGAGCTGAAAGAACAGGCTTGTTACCCACGTACTGCTGAGCCCCTCGTGGCAGGCACAACCCCGAAGACCTCTCTCTCTGCAGACCTGGTGCCCATCTTTGGGACTCAGACGTGGAAATGCTGCAGTGGCAAAAGACCTGAGCCCTTATGGGCTCCAGCCAGGTGACTGAAGGGTATATAGTGCACCCTTGACTTACAAACTCATTTCACTCCTGAGGGCTGGTTGTAACTCAAGTCAGTCAATTGAAGGCTCAGGCTCCTCTATACAGTCTCTCTCCTATACACAGGCAGCTCTCAGTGTCCTCAGAGAGACACTGGCCCAGGATTTCTCAGCAAACCCCACACAGGAAAGGATGTTGTCATGTTCCCTCCGGGACTCTTTAAGGGTTAAATCTGTATCTGACAACATCTGGAAGCACAAGTGGCCAGCATTGCATTGGGGTCATAACTCAAGACTTTGTTTGTAAGTTAAGACTAAAATGCCAGTCATAACCCAAGTTGTTCCTATGTCAGGCTGCTTGTAACTCATGGTCCACTGTACCTGGACAGAACCTTCTGGAACCCAGCCTGGTCTCACTCCCAGAGAAAAGTCCAGACCTGTGACATTGCTCAAAGGCCTCAGGAGCAACACAGCTGATGTTACCCTCCCAGTCCTCCTTTTTGGAGGAAGGAGGGCTAAAAGCTGGACTTGAGTTTCCCCTCTCCGTCCCAGTGAAGAAAGCACTGCCCCACCTTCAGGATCTGCCTGGAGAAAGGCAGGGCAGCTTGTCAGGCTCAAACTCTGGATGTTTGCCATCGCTCTTAGGGTTAAATCAGAACTGAGGCTTCTGGACTCTTCTAAGTGACCCTGGAGCCAGCAGTACAAGGGCAGGATTAATTCTTTCAGGCATGGTGGCTCCTTCTGAAGATGGAGCCATACACTTACCATCTCGTCACCCAGTAAGAACCACCTTGACGTGTACTGCCCAGCAAACTCTGTGGTACATTTGGGTCTGATGACAGTAGTTATTTTCCAAGCTGGTACGATGACTGTCCCCTTCTAAGAGTTTTATTTTGTTCTTTTTTTCCTTTTGGGGGGGCCTGGAGTCTATTACTCAATGGAAAGTTTTTGCTTCTGTTACCAGGAATCTCAGAGTTAGTTATGAACAGTATCTCACCCAGAATCTATGGTACAGTAGTTCTTTACTCTGAAACGTATTTTTCCATGACTTCCTTTTGTTTGTATTTAAAGCCATTATCCTTTCCTTCCCTAGGTGTGGCAGCCACAGCCTCCTTGGGAGGAGGCTGAGAAGATAGGACAGACAGCGGCTGCTACAGGAGAGGGCTTCACGCGTGCTCCCTCGGCCCCCCACCCCCAGACAGAGCTGGGGTTACCTTGGGTGTCCCGGCCGGCGCTCCTCCAGGGCCCGCCCTGGAACATCCTCCATTGTTTGTGGGCTGGACCTCCGGATGCCCCCTCGGGTTTCCGCCACCAGGGAAGTGTAGAGCTGAGTAGGCGGAAGCTGCCTTCTCCTGCTCTTGGGGCAGAGGCAGGCTGCGCTTCAGGCAGCACCACGTGAGCTGGGGCTCGGCCCTCAGGGAGGGGAAGGGGCTCTGGGCCCCGCAGCTCCTGGGGGTCCCTAAGTCAGAGGACAGCGGAAGTTCTGGGTGGCCCAGGGGCACAGCCTGGGGCCTCGTGAGCGCTGTGAGGAAGGAGCTGGGCTGGACAGAGCAGCAGGGATTGACCTTCAAGGGAGGGTCTTCCCGGGCATCCTCAGGCAGTCCTCGCGGCTCCCAGCTGGACGCCTTCACCACAGCCCCAGAGGTCGGCGCCCCTGCTGATGTGCTGTCTGTGCAGGTGTGACAGGTGGCATAGCTCTCACCCCCCTTGCCCTGCACTGCGAGGGCGTCACGCGTGGAGACAGGTGGGAGAGAGGCTGTCTCCCGTGGGGCCGCCGTGGCTGAGCCAGGAGACTCCCCGGACGCCAGGACCTGGCTGGCAGGCTCCTGTCGCTTTTCTCTTCCTGCTTGCATCTCTTTCTCGCCGCCTCTTGGCGGGGCGCAGCTGGATTCTTCCAGGCTGCCATCTGCCTCCCCTGGGACTGGACCTGAGGCTGGGCCTGGAGACCAGGGCATCCTGGGTTCCTTGGGTGGCCCAGCTGTGCAGATGGAGAGGTGGCCTTGTGTGGATGCCAGGAGGGTGGAAAGCGGAGAGGGGCTGTCTCCCTGAGGTAACCTGAGGAGGTACTTGGGGGCAAAGGTGACCTCGGCCTCCACCGCAAGGACTCCGGGAGCCTGAGGCTGGGTGACCAGCCGGCAGTGCTGCCCAGGGCCTCCCCTGGCATGGGACAGCGTGAGCTCTTTGTTCCCCAGCCCGGGAGCAGGAGCAGCTGAGGAGGAGCTGGAGGGCGCCAAGGGATCGGCCACCTTCTCAGCAGTCTCAGGCAGCGCCCCCGCTGTCTCCCGAGCCTCATCGTCCTGCCGCTGGGAAGGCAGAGAGGCAGCCTGCGCAGTGCCCGCAAGGGTCTCTGCTCCCAGGGGCCCTGGCTGCTCCGGAGGGCTCAGCCCCTCCACCTTCAGCTTTTTCCTCTCTGAGGGGAGTTGGTCCTCCGTAAGCCAGGGTTCCCCAGAGCTATCCCCAGGCCTTCTCAGGACAGCCGGGGCCCATGGACAAGGCTCCCTCACCCCCTCGTGCCCAGGAAGGCCCCCTTCCAGCTGGAGGTCTGACACAGCCCTCCTGGGGGCCCCTAGGTCGCCCCCCTGGAGGGGCCCAGGCACTGGAGGCAGCTGCCACCTCACTTCCAGCTGCCTGTTCGGAGGAAGCAGAGGGCTCCTGTTGCCTGATCCAGGGGAGTCCCTGCTGCCAGGTGTGGGGGATGACACTGCCCTGGCCACCCGGAGCTTGTCACTGCCTCCTGCTCTGGCCTCTGGTATCATTTGTTTAAGAGACTCAGTCTCTAAGGAGCTCGCTGGAGCTGGCTTGGCCACTACAGAAATGTCCCCAAGGACGGGTATTCCACTGTTGTGAGATGGGGCTGCGCTCTGGGCCCCTCCTGCGCTCGGGGCCCCTGCTGCCTCTTTCTGGGGAGGTGGGTCTGGCTCCGTCCCAAGGCCAGCTCGTCCATCCCTGGCTTTCTGCTCTCCCTGATGGCTGGTTTTCATTTTCTGGTAGATTCTCTTGAACGTCTCATTCCCATACACCTGCCACTTCTCCTGGGAGAACATCTTCGTCTTCCTCCGACCACACTTCTTACTGGCCACTCTGCCCTTGCAGGCTGCTCCCTCTCCAGGGACAACTCTCTTCCCATCCGGGTCCTCTGTGGGGGCCGCGGGCTCTCCAGTGGGGGTACACGGCACGTCCTCCACAGCGGCCTGTCTCACCAGGGCCCGGGGGTGGCCGCTGGGGACATCTGCCAAGATCAGCCCGGAGCGGCCGCCCAGTCGGGCTGAGGCTGGCCTGGGGCTCAGCGGCTTCTGCACCCTGGAGCGGGTGTCCTGCGGGTCTTGTGGCTCTGGCCACGTGCTAGAGGCCTCCACAAAGGGCAGTGAGTTGCTCCTGGTCACGGACACATATTCCACAGTGGTGGAGAGCTGCGTGGGCACAGAGTGGAAGAAAAGGGGCCGGGACTTGTCCAGGGCCGTGAAGGTGGAGCAGGCTGGGCTGAGGGCAGCCCTCCTGCGGCCGGGCTCCAGGGCCCGGATGTCAAAGTGGAAGGAGTCCTTGTAGGTGTAGGGCATGGGCAGGTCGATGCTGCCCTGCTTGGACAAGACGGTCTTGCGGGGCCGCACATGGTCCAGCTGGGGGTCGTCCACCACGGCCTGATTGTGGGAGATGAGCTGAGCAATGCGTTCCTCCAGCCGCTTCTTCTCCAGCTCCACACTGGTCCCCGATGCTGCTGCGGGCTCGGTCCTGGTGCTGCTGGGCCCCGGGCTCGGGCCTCCCTCTCCCTCAGACTCTGCACTGTGCTCCGACAGGCTGTGCAGGGGGCTGGAGGGAGGCAGCGGCTGTTCTGAGCTGTCTGAACGAGACAGGTAGCCCGAGTCGGTGCTCTCACACTTCCTCAGCTGGCCCTCGGAGGCCTTGGCATCCCAGGGCTTCTCCGAGGACACCTCCTGCTGCCGCTGCAGGGAGCACGACTTTGGTTCTGGCAGTTTCCGACAGGGCTGTGTGCTGGCCAGCAGGAGCCCAGGTGATGCAGTCTTGGCAGAGTCTGTTGGGGCTTCTTGGCAGGCAGGTGTGGATCCGAGGCGGGGAGCAGCTTCTGCCCTCATATCTAGATTCTTGACCCCAAGGGATACATGGACACCTGGGGAGAGAGGCCTCCCTGGGGCTCCATCACCTGTTCTCTGGCTCCAGCTTTCCTGCCCGCCTTCTGCTGAGGAGGCCTCTGCAGCCCTGTCCCCCTCCTCCAAGACACTGCTCCCGCCCACCTCAGACTCCAAGGACAGCCGGGAGTTGTTGAGATGTGTCTGTGTCCTCCTGTGCTTGTACAGGTTGCTCTGTGTCTTAAAGGCAATGCCACAGGTGGCACAGGGGAAGGGCCTCTCACCCGTGTGGGACCGGATGTGCTTCTCCAAAACACTGGGCTTTAGGCAGTCACGGCCACAGTGCGGGCACAGGTATTTGCCAGCATTCCGAATCTTGCCTGGGCTGCCCAGCATGGGCCCCAGCCCGGGGGACAGGACTGGAAGAGTTCCCACAATGTTCACTGTCAGGGCTGGGGCAGCTGGCTTTCCCACCTGGGCGGGTCCAGGCCCTTCAGGCTGTAGCAGGGGGCTGAGGATGAAGGGCACACCGCCCCCATCCAGGCTGCCTGTGACCAGTGGGGCACGTGGCTGGAGGCCCCCAGGTGGCACTGTATGGTACAGTGGGATGGGTAGAGCTTTCAGGATCATGGTGGGGGGCAGGCCCTGCTCCGGAGGCAGCATCACAGGGCCCAGGGTCAGACGAGGAGAGGCATGCCCATTTGGGGCACCTGGAGGGCCAGGTGTAGGAACTGGCTGGTCCCTGGCATCTGGAGCAGGGCAGGTGGGTTCTGGAGCCTCCATTCCACATCATCTGGGCAGTCCACAATGTCAGGCAACCTGCAGGGGACGATCACAGTTTATAACGGGTGCCTCTTCTGCTCTCCATCAATAAAAACTCCCCTAACCCACTGCACCATTGAACCCTGACAACCCTCCACAAGTACTCTTGCCCCCAAGTCAGGAAAGAGGAAATAGACTTGACCTGCCATGTAGTGGCTACATGGCAAAATAAGGTTCATGCCCAAGCCTCCATGAAGCCTGACTTTTACTTACTCAGGTTCAAGAGCCATAAAATGGACAAGAAATCAGGCCCTTCCCACTCTGGGATTCTAAGTCTTTGCTGTAGGATAAGAACAACAGGAAAGAAAACTGACAACAGGGGAAGCTTGCTAGGTTTAGCAAACAAAGGTGCAGGATTCTCAGCTACATTTGACTTTCCGATAAACAATGCATAATTCTTTTGGTGCATTGTGTGTCCCAAATGGGAATTACTCTTCATGTAAGTATGTCCCAAATCTTGCATGGGTCAGGCTAACACTAAAATATATACATGACTTATCTACAGTTGAAATGTAACTGAGAGCCCTGTATCTGATCTGCCAATGCTCCTGGGAAAAGGAGCGTTTTCTCAGCTTCAGGACAAGGCTTGGGTACCCGGCCATGCTCTGTAAGTCACAAAAGGAATGCAAGATACCTCGGTAAATGTTGGGGAGGCTGGAGCCTAGAGAGAGGGTCCTCAGACACCCATTCTCCCAGAGCTCCATAGCATCCTTCACCCAACCTCCAGCTCAGCTCCTTTAAAACAACCCTCCAAATCCCAGCCCTTAGCAGCCAGTTTGCCCTGGCAGTGTACAAAAGAAGCAGCACCACGTGGGGCCAGTTCACAGCACCACAGCCTCCACAAAGACGATTGTCAAATTTCCAGGAATGTTGCAAGCTGGTTGTTAAACACAGTCCCTAATTCAAAGTTAAATTACACTCATTTACAATTAAGTAAATTATATTAAAACCAAAGCTACTGCAACTGGATATCTACGTGCAAAAGAATGAAGTTAGCTTCCTACCTCAACGTATGCAAAACTTCATTCGAAATGGAAAGCAGACCTAAATGAAAGATCTAAAACTATAAAACCCTGAGAAAATGACACAAGATTAAATTTTGGATTGAACTTTGGATTTAGCAATGGGTTCTAAGATATGATACCAAAAGGACAAGCAGAAGAAGAAACATAAGCAAATCTGATGCAAAATTAAAACTTTTGTGCATCAAAGGACACTATCAAGAAAGTGAAAAGATGCAGAATGGGAGACAGTATTTGAAAACCATATATCTGATATATCCAGAATACATAAAGAACTCTTGTAATTCAAAACAAAAGAACAAATAACCCAATATTAAAACGAGTAAGGGATTTTAACAGATATTTCTCCAAGGAAAACAAAGCACATGAAAAGATGCACAATACCATTAGTCTTTGGGGAAATATAAATCAAAACCACAATGTGATATGACTTCACACCACCATGGTAATAATAATAAGCTGAAAATAACAACTGCTGGTAAGGATTTAGAGAAAGTGAAACCTTCAACACTACTGATAGAAAACAAAAATGATGTAACCACTCTGGAAAACAGCTTGGCAGTACCTCAAAAAGTTAAACAGGATATGCCCATGATTCTACCTGAGGAACTGACCTAAATGAATTTTTAAAATGGTATTTTTGCTTTTCAGAGGTGTCTTTCAAGTATAGCTTGTCTGTAGGTTTTTTGCATTTTGTGAAGCAAATAGTATTTAGGCTCGTGCACAAAAATACATTGAGAGTTGCTCTACTCAAAATAGTTGAAAGGTAGAAATGATGCAACTGTCCATCAACTGATGAGTGGATAGGTAAAGCACAGAATAATCAGATGGTGAAGTATTATTCAACCATAAAAAGGAATGCAGCACTAACACATGCTGCACAGGGATGGACTCTGAAAACATTAGGCTAAGTGAAAGAAACCAGACCCCAAGTTTGCATAAGGCATGATTCCATTTGCATTAAAATACCCTGGAATAGGGCCGGGGACTTAGCTCAGGAGTGCTGCTGCCTGCCTCACAAGTGCAAGGACCCAAGTTCAATCACCCATACCAAAAACAAAACAAAACAAAAAATCCTGGAATAAACAGATCTGGACCAATAAGTAAATTATAGCAGTTGCCACAGGTGGGAAAGAAAGAGGAATATCCATTTAATTTGGGTTCAGAGTTTTCTTAGGATAATGAAAATGTTTTGGAACTAGAGAGGGATGGTAGATGTACACAATTATGTGTATACTAAGTGCCACCAAATAGTGTACTTTAAAATAGTCAAAACAGGGCACCCAGCGATGTCTCATGGAGAGCCCAGGAGCACCCCACGTGGAGGGCCTCACCCCCAGATCCCTGCACTGGCCAGGTCAGTATCTGGATCTGCACTACAGAAGAGCCTGGGGTCATAAAGGTCATGGTAAAGAGCTTAGGAAGACAGAGCAGAAGTGACCAACAGAGAAAGGGCGTCTCTGAGGCTTCTTAATGAAAATTGAAGACCACTGGGAAAGTGAAGAAATCTCTGCAATAAAGGAACACTGGATCACCATGGTTGGTAAGTTGATGGGATCAGCACCTCACATCAGAACTCGGACTCTCTTTGGGGGAAGGGCAGCGGAACCTGCAGTAGAACCTTGCAGAGTTCAATCCTGCAGGAGGTCAGGGAGTTCAATTTGGGCCTTGCAGTCATAAATCAGCCTGAATCTCAGTGGACTACAGCTGGCTTGCTGAGACTAATCAACTTAGATCTGCACCCTGCTGCCCACTTTGTCTACCATGACAGCAGAGACATACCCTGAGGAGGCCCATTTTCTTTCTTTTTCTTTTTTACTTTCTCCTTTCTTGATGTTCATTTCTCTCCCTTGTTGTTCTTGTCCCTGTCCTATTTTGGGTTTTTATTCTCTCAATTGTCATTAAGGTGAATACAGCCTCTAGCTTCCCTATTGCTATTAGATTGATCTGTTCTTGTCTTTCTTCCTTCACTCTGTCTTTTCCTCTTGCCTTCAACAATTTCCCAAAGTGTGATATTCCTGTGTCCTCTGGCCTCACTTCTAATCTTTCCCTCTCCTTCTATATCTCTATCCCTCGCTCCCAACTCCTTCTATATCCTCATCCCAAGGGATAATTTTGCTACGTTGAAGGGTTTATTTACGACAAACATACTTTGTTCTTGTCCTCAATTTTGATCTAGTTTATGCAGTTAAAGTTGAAAGATTAATAGCAACCACAAATTGTCATTTTCTAATCTGTGTTTGATGTTATTATTGATGCTTATTTTATCACTTGGGCAAAGGTGTCATGATAGATCTAATCAGATGTCCTCCCTGGAATACTGGAAGTGATACTGCCTAAGGGTCATTAGAGACTCAAAACCTACAGACCAGCTATACTTGAAAGACACCTCTGAGAAGCAATAATTATTTAAGGGATCTAAATGCAAGCAATACAGATACTCTCAATAAGCAATACTGAAGTATCAATCCAGGCATTAAACCTAAATCATCACAAGCAACAAAAATAGAAATGAGAAGACACACACACACAAAGGCCACAAACCCAGACTTTCAGCTCACCATAGGCAAATGCTGGAAGCAATGAGATGAAAAAATCTGATAATCAACCACCTAGACACCATGAAATGGTAACAGAAAGAAACAAAATAGATGAACAAGGTTCTAGAAAAATTCAAAATAAAAATAATTTCCCAGATAGCTACAGAGAAGGTGAGCAGGATGAAAGATTTGATTAGAGATGCTAGAACAGAAAATATTTTTAAAAGGAGAGAGAGATGAGCTCAGGACCATGATGGAAACTACAAATGCCCAGCACAGGAAAGAAATGGAAACCATGAAATAGATTCAAACAGTTATCTGGAGATTAAAAACTCCACCGAAAGTATTTGCATTAGAATAATCCAGTGTGATGGCAGAATATCAGCTATAGAAGACAGGATTGTAGTTAGTGACAATGAAAAGAGATCTCTTTAAAAATAGTAAGGGACAATGAGAAATAGGTCCTGTAGCTGCTAGATGACACAAAGAAGAACAATATAAGACTGATAGAAGTCCACAAAAAAGCAGGACAAAGTAAAATGAAATAAAAAATTGCTCACAGAAGTAATGGCAGAAAACATCCTAAACAGAAGAAAAGATTTTGACATACAGATAAGTGAGGCATATATGACTTCAACTAGCCATGATGAAAAAAAAATCTAGATAACAGTGAAGATCCCAGAAATCCAACAGCAGATCAAAATACTAAAAGCAGTTAAAGAAAAGAAACAAATCACATACAAAGGAAAGCCCATCAGAATCACAGCCAACTTTTCAACATAAGCCCTCAAGTCAAGGAGTGCCTGGAGTTAGGTATTTCGAGCACTAAAAGAAAACAGGCTCCGACCTATACTGATGTACCCTGCAAAACTATCTTTCAAAAGTAAATGGAAAAAATAGTAAGGGACACTGAGACAAAGAACACCTGAGGAACTTCATGAATACCAAACCAGCACTCCAACCAATACTAAACAATGTGCTAGAAAAATAAATGAGGTCACAACTCCATGAGATCCAACAGAGCAAAGTCATTAGAAAAGGCAAGAAATTAAGGGAAAGATGGTGGGGAATAAAAGAGCCAACAATGGGAAAATATCATGACAAGGACAGGTCAATATGCATCAGTTTTAACAATCAATATGAATGGCCTCAATTCACCAAACAAAAGAAATATACTGGCAGAATGGATTAAGGAGCAAAATCCAGCACACCCCTTTAGCCCAGCACAGCAGAGGAACCTGGCAGCAGCTTGTGACCCACTGGTAGGCCTGCCTCTCCAGCACAGAGCAGCAGAGGAGCACAACTGCATGGGCGCCAACACAGTGGTATCCATGCTCTGCCCACCCCTCCATTCCCACTCTGCACAAACAAGAGAAAGAGGGCCTTTCTGAAGCACCTAGATGAAAATTGAAGCCCACTGGAAAAGTGAAACAAT